GAGAATAAATGTCTTCTATTCGCTGACCCGGGAAGGAAGACCTTTCTACCTTCGAGCGCTACGGTGTATCGCGGGACGTCCGGCCGAATCGCGCGAGATCGATTTTCCCATTCACCTCGAGTCTTACGCGGTTTAATTATGTGCTCCTCTTCATTTTGCTCCAAGCTACGCTCAGCTATGCTAAGCATTCGGTGAGAGCGTTCAGCGAGTTGTTTGTGCTCGTGTTTCTTCTCCGTCCGTTGTTCTCTCGACATGTTATCTTTCTACCTGTCGCATTTTATATCATTTCGTTTCGAATTTTTCGTTTTAGCGATACTTGGATCGTTTCTTCTTTGCAATCGCGAGTATATTTATTTATGAGGATATTTTCACTTGAGTTAAATCGAAGGATAAGATCTGCATCAGCGATGGGATAAGGTCACATTTAAATGAAACGTAATTTCCGTAAATGAAACGTAATTTTTTTTGGAAATTATTTAAATAAAGTGAATTGTAATACACAGACCTAGATTACTGGAACATTAAATTATAATATGAATTACGTAAAAAGGATAGAGCTCAGCGTTGTATTGTAAGCTGTGGGATTAAATGTGCGACGCGATCACGATATCAGCACGGTGCGCATTCATACGCAGCGTTGAAGTCTCCTCTTTCGTGTTTCTGCTTATCGATTCATTCGGTCGGACCTGTCGGTCATATTTCCGCGGGGATAATCGTGTTATAATTGTAATGCCACGAGGAGAAGCACTACGTAAACTTATTCGAGTTGCCAAGTTATCTTTATCTAACACTTTCTCTCCTTTCCAATACGGTCATCAGTATCCGAAGTATGAGCGCTGTCGGATGCTCATCCCGCGTCGATGCTAAATAGTCATCTTCGCGAATTTTCGGTTAAACTAACATACAGACCAATTGTAACACGCGTTACGCATTTCTCCATGTTTATAATCACGTTTATAATTCCTTCTTTATTACTACATTATGTTAAAAACTCCACATACCAAATAGTTGTACGATAACTCTCTCTCTCTCTC